TTAGTTGAATACATTGTTGATGGAATACGTAATCCACAATTGCGTATGCTTGCAAAGATGCAGCAATTCAAATCAAAAGCAAACTTGGTAGCAGAGTTTGGCTATGTTAATCAAAATACTACTAGGACAGTGTCGACGAATGGAAGGCGTGTAAAGCAAGGCTTAAGATGTTTTAACTGCAGTAATACCGGACATGTTGCCGCTGAGTGCCGTCAACCGAAACGTCCATTCGGTGTTTACTATGGATGCGGTAGTTTGGTACACCGGGTTGCAGTCGGTGTCCGTAACAAATTCAACGCCAACGAACAACAAAATATTTATGTAAGGAATTTTCGTATGTTAATTATAGGCTTATATAAAGTGTTTATGTTTACATTTAATTGATATCATTTTATATTTTTGTTTTTGTTATGATATTTGATTACATGTGTTTACATACATATTATTTGGGCCAACACTGCGACCAGTCATTGACCAACGAAAAGTGCAATTTTGCATTATCAGCTTTTCTTGTTGGTCAATGCACTGAAGAAAGTGTGTAATATGTTGGCCTATAATTATGTCAGCACAGCGTAAACAACACAGTCAACCAACTGAAGGATTGACGTCAGAGGGGCCTGACGGATTCAGAGGACAATTGAATCGGCAAGCAGTCTTAAGGGCATACATGATGTTACAAAAGAATGTTATTATGGATTAGCAGCTCAAGGTATTGATGTTAAATCTTGGGACGTCATAATGGTTCACGTAATTATTAGAAAGCTAGACAAAGCTTCACATACAGCATTCGAGCAATCGTTAGAAGACAGCCGAAAAATAATTTCATTAAAAGAATTATTGCGGTTCCTAGAAATAAGATTACAGGTATTCGAATCAATGACGAATGGAAACCACAAACAAAGTCACAAACCACGACATCCAGCAGTAGCACTTGCAGCTACAGACTCAGGATCAAAATGTATTACTTGCAATAGTAGTCATCAATTATTTTCATGTGAAACTTTCAAACGAAAATCCATACAACAGAAGTATGATTTACAAAAACATCATAAATTGTGCACAAACTGCATGAAACCTGGTCATATGGCATTACAATGCTCCAGCAGGGGTTGTACTATATGCCAAAGACGACATAATACACTGTTGCATCAAAATAGACACCCAGTTTAACCATCAAATCAACTTCAAGGCCACTTGCACAAACAACTCTAATGTCATCCATCAATCATGGTCAGACCAGTTCCGTTCTTTTGGGAACAGCAAAACTTTTAGCCTCCAACTCTAATGGAAGAACAGTCGAGTGCAGAGCAATATTGGATTCAGGTTCACAAATAAATATTGTGACTGAACGACTGGCATCCAGATTGGGTCTGGAAGTAAGCTCCAGTTCGATTTGCATCGAAGGCATAGGGATAGGTAAATTGAGTTCTAAAAGTCGTACAACAATTTCTGTGCAATCAAAAGTTATGATTACAAAACAATACTTGAAGCATTTCTGTTGCCAAAAATTGTATCCAATCAACCATCGCAACACTTACAAATTTCAAATTGGAATCTGCCCAATAGCATCCAATTAGCAGATCCTATATTCTATAAGTCTGACAAAATTGATATGTTGCTTGGAGCAGAATTTTATCATCAACTCTAAGTCCTGGTCAAATACAACTTTCAAGGGAACTACCAATTCTACAAAACACTGTGCTCGGATGGATCGTATCTGGAAAAATCCAAAATGCTAACACAATGATTGCAACATGTGGAATAGCATCAGAAGATAGTTTAGAAAATGCAATAGAACAACTCTGGAAGGTTGAAGAAGTTGATACTCACTCAAAGGTCTTGTCAATAGCAGAGCAACAATGTGAAGCTCAATTCACTCAAACTACATATCAGAATGTTACGGGACGATTCATCGTACGTCTTCCTTTTATAAATGACAGATTCGCTTTGGGAGATTCGAAAGACATTGCTACAAATAGATTTCTAGCACTAGAGCGTAGACTTTCAAAGGATAGTCACCTCAAACGACAATACGTAGAGTTTTTAGATGAATATGAAAAATTGGGACATATGACCGAAATAGATATTGAAAGGATTATGTCACCAGATTACTTTATACCACACCATTGTGTGCTTAAACCCGACAGTACCACCACCAAGTTACGTGTGGTATTTGATGCATCATCCAAAACAACATCAGGGCAATCTCTCAATGATTTACTACACATCGGACCAACTGTTCAAAGTGAATTACTATCTATTTTATTACGATTCCGTCTTCCTCGTTATGTGTTTACAACAGACATTGAAAAAATGTACCGACAAATACTTGTACATCCAGAAGACAGACAATGTCAGCTTATCGTTTGGAGATATGAACCAAGTCAACCGATAAAGTATTTTGAACTCAACACAGTAACATATGGTACTAGATCAGCACCGTTGCTAGATACCAAATGTTTGCAAGCTTTAGCTGATGACAATATGCAAAATTATACATTAGGTGCATCTGCTCTCAAACAAAACTTCTTTGTAGATGACTGTTTACACGGGGCAGATAGTCTGAGAACATTGTTGGAAACTCAGAGTCAATTAAACAAAATACTGACAGCAAGCGGTTTTAAATTGCGAAAATGGTGCGCAAATCATCCAAGTTTACTACAAGGAATTCCACACGATGACCTAGAAGTCAATTTAGATTTAGAAAATAATAACGATACAACAAAAACTCTTGGGTTATCCTGGTGTCCAAAATCTGATAGTTTATGCGTCAAGGTTAAATTGGCACCTGTTTGCAGCACGACGAAGCGCAGTGCAACCTCAGATTTCGCAATGCTATTCGATCCACTAGGACTTTTGTCACCAGTTGTGGTGATGGCAAAGATCTTTATTCAAGAATTAAAGATGATTTAAAGATGGATTGGGATGAAAAACTGCCGACTGAATTACATAAACAGTGGTTAGAGTTCCGGAACAATTTGAAATAAATTTTAGGATGTCTGCAGATATCTCGTCATATTTTCAAGGGCGAAGTTCCTGCCAACATTCAGTTACACATATTTACAGATGCATCAGAAAAGGCATATGGTGCTGCGGCGTATTTGCGATCAACACTTCAGAATGGTCAAATCATTGTACGACTATTGTGCGCCAAATCTCGGGTTGCACCTTTGGAAAGGTTGACATTACCTCGTCTCGAACGTTGTGCAGCTGTGGTTGGCGTAGAACTAGCAACAAGAATAAATAACGACCTACAAATAAGAAATTACCAGACGTTCTTTTGGTGTTATTCACAAATAGTGATATCATGGATCAATGCTCCATCATCAAAGTTTCACACTTTCGTTGCAAACAGAGTAAGCAACATTCATCAATTAACAGCCACAAGTCAGTGGCGCCACGTCAGTTCGGAACACAATCCAGCTGACATTTTATCAAGAGGCCTTGCACCCCATAAACTACAGTCATCAAGTATGTGGTTTTATGTACCTATGTTCCTGCATGGTCGGGAAGAACTGTGGCCTTCAAAACCATCATCAGTGTTAAAATCCGAAACCCTCATTGATCCTGAACAGAAGAAGGAAAATCCAGTATCTACATTGTCTGTTGTTGAAGGCACAACAAATACTGGAGAGTTCATATACTCAATACGACACAACAACTCATTTGGAAGACTTCAACGGATATTATCGTATATATTAAGATTCGTAAAAAGAACCAGAAGGAAACAAAATGATCATTCAAGCAATTTTTTGACTCCAGATGATCTAGATGCAGCACATCAGGTCAGCATCAAAAGTATTCAATATGCAGAATTCAAAAACGAAATCAAAATTATGAAATCTGATGAAAGAATAAATAAGTCCAGTGCATTGGCATCACTGGCACCTTTTATTGATAATACGGGCATCAAAAGAGTTGGTGGACGTTTGGATGCAGCCTCATTATCGTATGACGCCAAACATCCTATGTTGTTGCCTTATAACGACCCCATTGTCGAATTAATAATGGAACAAGTCCATAAGAAATACATGCACTGTGGTCCGAAGTCTCTCCTAGCTAGCATGCGTCAACGATACTGGCCAATTAAGTGCAAATTGATGGCAAGGACAACATTGTGTACGTTGTACTAAAGTAAGACCACGATTTTGTGAACAACTGATGGGTAATTTGCCAGCGACAAGAGTACAACCTGGGCGACCATTCCTCACCACTGGAGTGGACTTTTGCGGACCTTTTTGGATACATTACAGAGTCCGAAGCAAGAAACCACACAAGGCATACATTGCTGTGTACTGTTGTTTTACAACTAAAGCAGTTCATCTCGAAGTAGTCAGCGATTTAATCACAGATGCATTCATCGGATCACTGAAACGTTTTATTGCTCGAAGAGGACATTGCAAGAATTTGTTTTGTGACAATGCCACAAATTTCGTGGGAGCAAGCAATCAATTACTTGAACTTGCAGACTCAAGTCAAGCAAACAAGGCACAAGCGAAGATAATTAACGAATGTAATGAAAGAGGAATAATATTTAAATTTATACCTCCTCGTGCACCACACTTCGGTGGACTGTGGGAAGCAGCAGTCAAATCAGAAAACACTTATTGATACGAAGTACTAAGACGATTTCACTAACATATCTGGAACTAGAGACTGTGGTATTAAAAGGCGAAGCAATACTGAACTCTCGACCATTGACACCTATGTCGAGTAATCCGAATGACTTGTCAGCACTAACACCTGGTCATTTCTTAATCGGAGAACCACTCACAGCAATGGCAGATGCAAAGGCCCAATCAGGAAATTTAAATCTGGTGACAAGGTGGAAATTAGTTTCTCGCCTCAAATTGGACTTTTGGGAACGTTGGAAAACCGAGTACCTCACTGAACTACAATGTCGACACAAATGGAAAGCAGCCAATCCAAATATAAAAGAAGGTACCCTTGTAATCATCAAGGAAGACAATGTTCCTACATTAAAATGGCCGCTTGGACGTATTTCAAAAGTATATAAGGGAGATGACGGTCTTGTTCGCGTGGTCGATGTTAGAATGGCATCAGGAACTCTAAGACGTCCTTTGACAAGACTAGCGCCTCTGTTTCCAGCCGATGAACAATCTCCTGTTTCTGATGAACAACTTTCAAAAAGTTTTACAAAAGCAAATTCGAAAACACCACACGAAGGCGCAGATCAAGACGAGCCACCTAAAAAGTATTCACGGCCAATGTTTAATTCATTACTGTGCACAATGTTATTATCTCTATTATTCTTGCCATTGGTATTAGGGAATTCAGTGAATGTAGCACGTTTCGACAATAATTTAGGAATATACTTTGAATCCATTGGCTTGATGAAAGTAGCAACGGCAGAATGGAAAATGATTGTTTACTATGATCTTCATCCATATTGGACCGAAATGGACTCATTCAACAACGGGACTAAAACCATCAAACGTTTATATTCAGAATTGCAAATACATACAGCATGTACTTCTCTCTATACTCATTTTAAACATGTCAGAGATGAGTTGTTGCAAGACCAAACATTATTATATAAAAGCCGAAACAAGCGAGCTGCAATTAATATAGTAGGAAATATTGCACATACCTTATTTGGAGTGCTTAATTCAGACTACGCTGAGAGATGTCTGACACAATAAATCAACTTAACAGTAGAGATGATTACGCAATGCAATTAATTCATAATCAAACATCCATAATCGATTCCACAATAAACATAATTAATCGAGATGAAGTTACCATGCAGTCCCGAATGAATCATTTGCAAAAGGAGGTTGATGGGTTTCTGAATAGAATTGGAACTGCAACAGAACAGATACATGTCACTCAATTACTACTTTCATTATATACAGAACTCACATTAATGGTATCTAATCTTCAACACATCCAGTCGGAAATAATTGATGTGCTCACAGATACACATCATGGCAAAATCAGTCCACTGCTATTAACTCCTGAGCAGTTAACAAAGGAGATTAACAGAATCAAAGACCACTTACCATCGTCGCGTACATTACGGTTTACAGAAGACATTTTTACAAGCTAATGAAAGTAAAGTCAACAATTAAAAATCAGCATGTATTATTTTTAATACAACTACCACTGCTAGACAAGCAGCAATTTGAATTGTTCAAGACAACACCGATACCGGTTGTAATAAACAAAACTATGATAATTATCAAAACTGAAGTGGAGTACTTGGAAACCAACACTGTTCGAGATCAGTACATTCCATTTGATGACCATAAGTTACGGTAATGTTTTTTAACCAAGGATAATATATACATTTGCGCTAATAAGCAAACAAGACTGAGTATAGCATCATCGGTACATTCATGTGAAATTAATCTATTTAATGGTAACCAGTCAACAACATGCAATATAATAAAACTTCAAGAAAATATTGCATTGAAACAACTACACAACTACACAAACATTGATGTCAGCTAGTTGTTAGACCTAATTGAGTCAGTTCTCACTGATAGGATCCGGAATGCTTACATTTGGACCTACGTGCATCATTAAAAACGCAGAAATAACCATACATGGCCACTATTTTATCTCCAGCACTGTATCCACGTCATTTCCACGATTTGGAAATTTATTAACAGTACACATTGATGAGATGCAGAAAATCTTCAATACAACACCAAATGATGTAGAAACACAACTCAAGGAACTCACGGAATTACAAAACCAGCTAACTAAGGAAAACTTGACGTATCTTCCCTCTAGAGTGCGATTAAACAGTATTCATCATCATACGATAAGCTATTTGGCGTTGTAAATTTCTATAACAATAATAATAATCATTACTTGGAAAACCAAACATAACATATGTCAGAAACACACAATAAACGAAAATTCAACACAAGGAAATGATATATTACATCAACAAAATTTGGACTTCACGGTGACCACAACCTAGGACAAGTTGAGTTGGCACTCAACGGCGGGGAGAATGTTTATGTTTACATGTAATTGATATCATTTTACATTTTTGTTTTTGTTATGATATTTGGTTACATGTGTTTACATATTATTTGGGCCAACACTGCGACCAGTCATTGACCAACGAAAAGTGCAATTTTGCATTATCAGCTTTTCTTGTTGGTCAATGCACTGAAGAAAGTGTGTAATATGTTGGCCTATAATTATGTCAGCACAGCGTAGGCATATTTATTTATTTGTGAATTATGCATTAATATTTATTGTTAATTAATGCATAATTTAATAGCTTTTTAATGAAGTAATTTTATATAAATAGAAGAAATAGTTCAAATAAAGTTCAGAAAATGCAGAAAAATCAATACGACTCAATTATTGATATCATATCTCTACTTTCTCATCTCGATTAGTTTGGGTTTCAAGTGCTCAAATTAATCAACACAAAAAATACAAGTAGTTTGAGTTACAAGTGCTCAAACTATTATACTCTACACACAAAATTGGGCTACCAAGCTAGCACAGATTAAGGATCTGGGTTAGCACCAAGTAGCGTACATAAAGTATCATTATTTTTAGAGTGCCTAATAGACTTTGGCAGCCCAATTAGTTTTTTGAAAAAATGTTGTGTACCGGAAGCGGTAACGTTAAATTAAATTTCGAATGTAGAATATTTTGGCCTCAATATAAGTATTTTAAAAATATTTGGAGAAATGGTAAATTGTTTGATATTATTGAATAAAAAAATGTACTGATTAAATTTTACGTAGTTGCTAATGATTCTATGGGCAGCAAACAGTCTTATGTAGAGATTTTTTAAGAAAAAGCAGCGCAAAGATAATATGGAAAAATTGTTGTAAAGCGTAGTCAAAAGAAAACTGTAGATTTAAATATCAAAAAAGTATAAAGTTAAGTGATGACAGTAATTGTGACGATGTAAAAACTTTTGCAGAAAGTATTTCAGCAATTAATATAAATGATGAACATAAAGAAAAATGTAATATTGGTCCAGAAGTCTCATTTAAAACAAAAGTGTTGTTAGAAGAGATATTTACTAAATGTTATCTGACATAAGTGCGTCCAAAAGAACCAGAGATAAAGTGTGAAATGAAGATCAGTTTAGATAATGTTAAACCATTTAATTACTCCCTAAGAAGACTTGCATATGGGTCATTCTTTTACAAGCCGGACAGATTTTGGCAAAAAATGACCTCATGATCTCCGATTTGCTTGAAATTTTTTTTATGAGCTCCTAAAATAAGAAGACCTGTATCTCGGGAAAAATTATGTGATTTTTTTCCTAGGAGATATGGACCCATGGGGTCTTCAGAATTGGTATAGTAGACACTTTTTCCAATGGCTCAAGTTCTGCAAAAAGTACAAACTTGAAATTTACAGTGTTTCAAAAATAATTGATTAAACTTTTATGAAATTGTTTAAACAATTAAAATTGATTATACTTAAGTACTAATAACGGTTTAACGGTTAAGTTAAATTTCAAAAAAAAATTTTTCTCATAACTCTTACATAAATTTTCATTTTTTATATTTTATTTAGATTCCGTTTAAAATTTTATAACGAAATAAAAATTTTCAAGTACCTGTTATTTTTTGAAATTTTTTAATATTTTTTATATATATTCATATATTCTAATATAATATTTTTGATTTCGATTAGAATGGGCCGTTTTTGCATTTGTATTCTTTTTTTGTCAATTTGTAAAGATACGCAGATTTTTTCCCAGGCATTACTTGACTGTTTTCTTCACATTCATAAAAATTTAAAATTCTATTGGTTACATGTTTTCCTAGCGATGGCTTTTTGGATTTTGGTCTTCTAAGATTCATTTCTCTGAAGTAAGTTTTTTAGCAACAGTAGTCATACATTTTGTAGCGTTTGAGAAGTAAGTCCTGAACCTTTCGGATAGACCAATTATGTATCACACCCAATATTTTTATTTTCATAGTTCCATCTGCTGTGCCATTTAATTTCTCCTGCAGAATTTTTAAAATTGATGCGAGTCATCTTCTTCATCGCTATTCTTAGAGTTATACGCAGGAATATTAAACATTTTAAATTTGTGATTTATTTACTCAATAAAAATAATTCTGAAAATACTAACGTCCTAAAAAGTTTCATTTTTATGTAGAATTTAATGATCAAC